AACTCAAATCCAATACCAAAAACTACATTAAAAAAAAAAAAAGCCAAGCAGTAGTGGCTCAGGCCTTTAATCTCAGCACTTGGGAAGTAGAGGCAACCTCGTCTACAAATCCAGTTCCAAGACAGCCAGAACTGTTGTTGCACAGAGAAACCCTGTCAAAAAAGAAAAAAAAGTCGATGTAGTGTTGTACACCTGTAATCTCAACAGACAAGAGAACCGCTTGGAAACTCAGCTCACAGGTCAACAGAGAAAGAGAGATCCTACCTCAAAATACAGAAGGCAAAGAGCATGGTGGTGCAGGCTTTTAATGCCAGCACTGTGGAGGCAGAGGCCAGTGGACCTCTGAGTTCAAGGCCAGCCTGGTCTGCAGTGAGTTCAAGGCTCAAGGCTACATAGTGAGACTTTGTCTTTTGCTTTGGTTTTTGGTTTTCGAGGCAGGGTTTTTCTCTGTACTTTTGGTGCATGTCCTGGAACTCTCTCTGTAGACTAGATTGCCCTTGAACTCATAGAGATCCACCTGTCTCTGCCTGGGAGTGCTGGGATTAAAGGTATGTGCCACCACCACCAGTTTGGGACTGTCTTAAAAGAAAAGAACAGAAAAAGTCAGAAGGCAGGAACACTCTAAAAGTTATCCTGTGACCTCCACTGGTAACGTGAGTGCAAACAGACAAGCACACGCAGCAAAAGGAGAAAAAGAAGAAGGGGAAGCAGGAGGAGGAGGAGAAGGAAAAAAAGAGGAGGAGGAAGCAGGGAGGTAAAACTGTAAATCTAAGGCTGGAGAGAAAGGGCTCCCGGCATCCAGGTGATGTGTGAGGCTTGAATCTACAGACAGCGGAAAGATGGCAGAGCTAAACACCAGGGAAGACCATGGTGAGGAGGAGGAAGAGTGAAGAAAGAGATTGAGACAGAATGAGGAAAGGGGGCAGGGGATGGGAACTGAGTGTCCAGAAACAACAGAGAAGAAACCTTTACCAGTGGCAAAGCAGTCCCAGACAGAGGCAGAGACAGGCAGATAACTAAACTCAAGGCCAGAGTAGTCTACAGCGTGAGCTTCAGGATAGACAGGGCTACACAGAGAAACCCTGCCTGAAAAAACAAAAAACAAAAAAACAACCGAGAGAGAGAGAGAGAGAGAGAGAGAGAGAGAGAGAGAGAACTTTAAGACAGGGTGGGATGGCTAGATTGTCAACTCACAGAAGTAAGAAAGCAGAAGTGAGGAGGTCCCAGAGCCCTTGGATGGGAGTGAGGTGGAGGCAAGAATGGGTGGGTTGGAAGTGGTAGGCACAACCCTAGGGGGCCACCCAGGCAAGGTCAGGCTTTTTTCCACACAAAAGGAGACTGACCATAATTCTTTCTAGAAGACACACACAGAAAAAAGACTGAAGGTGCCACTAGGGATGACAGCGGTGGCAGATGGGAGTCAGGGAGCCAGGGAAGTCAGGGGAGGGCTTCACTTGTATCAAGAAGACCTGAGTTAGAATGGGGCAAGTGTTCTATAGAATTGAGGGGAGAAGGAAATTGAGGGAACCCTCAATAACCATGAGACTTGGGACAGGGCAGCAGGGAGTATTGGCATGAAATGAAGACAAAAGGATAGTTTCAGACAGTTCAGTTCCGAAGAATAACAGGAGTCTCTCCCCTCCCCCGTTCCTCAGTAGCCTTCCTGTGTCTCATTCTCCCAGTTCCTCAGTAGCCTAAGAGCTGTGATATCCCAGCAGGGACTAACATGGTCCTAGGATCCCTCCCTCTCTGCAGTGCTGGGGATGAAACCCGGGGCTTTGCACTAGTGCTCAATGACCTACAAACCTGAAAGAAGGCTTTTGGTCTTGTGTTTGTTTGTTGTTTTGAGATGGAGTCTTACTGCAAAGGCCAGGTTGGCCTCAAACTCAGCAATAGTTGTCTGTCTCTGCCTCCTGAGTGCCAGGTTAGAGTGTGTGTCACCGTACTTGGCCAAAAAGGGCATTTTACAGATGAGAACAGCAACAGCAAACTAGTACTCTAGGCTGGAGAGGTGTTCAACAGTAAAGAGAGTGCACTGAGTTTGGTTCTCACACACACACACACACACACACACAGAGAGAGAGAGAGAGACAGACAGACAGAGACAGAGAGAGATACAGACACAGAGACAGAGACAAACAGAGAGAGATACAGACACAGAGACAGAGACAAACAGAGAGAGACAGAGACAGACAGAGACAGAGACAGACAGAGACAGACAGACAGAGACAGAAAGAGAACACCAAGCTTCAAAGAGATCAGACCATTTCAGAGCCGTTTGCACACTAAAGCTCAGGTCTTCTGGCTCCACCACAGCCCCTGAGCCCCTTCCTGTCCCCCTTCCTCTTCTATGACCATACAAGGGACTTGACTCCCAGGGTTTCCTGAGGCCCATGGCTAGCAAGTAGCTTCTTGTGCAGGTCTATCAAAAATGTTTCCCCAGCCTGTGTTAGGATGTAGGGTTACTCCCCTCCCACAAGCCACCATAGACTATGCCTCCTGGCGGGAGAGGAAGAGCATGTCCCTGTCCCTAAGGGAATGTATCCCCAGCTATGGAGCAATAGCTTCACATCTTGTTGTCAGTTCTGGCAGCCTGCTTTGACACAGCCCTTGTGACAGTTTTGACAATGCCAGTTATCCTGCCTCCATGACCACAACGAACCCTTTGTTAGAGCTCTAAACCAAAGCTCTGAAAACAGGGTAAGTAGCTGACAGTGAAGCCATGAGCAGAGATGGGCCAAGCAAGGTTCCAGACCCAGGAGGCTGGACCAGCTCAGGAACCATTTGACCAAAATGAACACCTGTCTGATGTAAGTAGCAAGTACTCTGTGTCTCTCTGGGAGTGGAGGAGATAGGCCAAGACACTTGGTTCCAAATGAGTCCAAGTTGCTTGGTCATCAGAGTGTGCTCTCTCCCTGTTCCACTTAATGTATCCACCCCAGTGAGCTCATCTGTAAAATGGTACCCACCCTCCGAAAGCTGTTTGAGAAGTCCAGGAAAATGCTTAGCGACACAGCCATTATGCCGCAGACATCAGTAACTGTTTTCTAAGTACGGTGGCAGTAATGGGTGGGCTGGGGCCAGAGGAGTAAGATGCCACTACAAAAGGCTGCAGAAGGTGATGAGGCTGGTCAAGAGGAGGGCTTCATTTTTCTCCTCTTGGGAAGGAAGCCAAGCCCTAGCTTAAAGATAATGCAGCCAGAAGCTAGCCCAGAGGAATGAGGTGTGTGTGGATGGCGGAATGAAGCCCACTTTAAACGTGCTAAGTGGGGAAGAGCTCTGTAGGAAAGAGCCAAAGAAAACCCCACCTGGGAAGCCAGCAGCTAGGCAGCTGGTGAGTGAACGTCAGACCCACCCAGCACTATCGTAATTCACGGTGTAGGAGGCTACTCTGGGCCAGGTTGCTTGAAAATCAAAGGTCAGAGTCCTAGAGGGTAGACTGGAGGGCAGCTGGGTTGCGGGGCGGGGCTCCCAGCCCCCAGCAGCAGGATTTCTTTGTAACTCGGCTTTGGGAAGAAAGCTCCTTTGCGGCCAAGGAAGTTTAATCCAAAGGGGGCTTGCTGGGCCACTAAGACGTGGGAAGCAAAATGATAGCAGGCCTTTGGAAATTTACAGAGAAAAGGGAGGGTTGCCACAGCAGCACAGCAGGGGCGGAGGGGGCACGAGAGCTGGTACCAGAGGCCTGGACTTCAAATGCCCTGCCACTCACCATGAGCTATTTTGAGCTATTTTGAGCAACTAAATCACTAAATGTCATTTCTGAATCTTTCTCTACAGCGTGAAGGAAGCCATAATACCTGCTGCTCAGGGACGTGGTTGCTACTGTGAGAGTGTGCAGGGTTTGCCCAATGCAATCTGCTCGGGCCAGAAAGAGAGCATCTTCAGTAGAGCACCAAGAAGGAATGCATGGGGGCCATGGCTCTGGAAATGAGCTTTGAAGGATGGGTGTGCTTTCCTTATGAGAAGAGAACATACCTTGGGCGATGGATAACCTAAGCAAAGGCATAAGACAGCACAGCCACAGCCAGGATGCAGAGGAACCCAAGGCAGTCCATTCTCAACCTTTGTAAGTCAGGTCTCTCCCACCTTCCCACACTCACGGGCAATGGGAAAGAATGGCAGACTACACTCGACATCTTCACAGAGGACACGGAAGGCTAGGAGGAAGCCTCAGCTGGACCAGTTGAGGAGCTGTTTTGGAAAGGAAAACTTTTAATGGAGCCTCAGAATTTAAAATCTGTGATGAGAAGGAACCCCAGGTGGATGGGACCATCTAAATGATGCTATGAAGAACTGATAACAGTTCCAGAATAAGATGCATCAGAGGAAATGGACGGATGGGCTGGATGGCCGGATGTGGGCCTTGAATCCAGGCTGGAGGATAAGCAAAGGATTGTCATTAAATACTGCGTGGAGAAGGGACCTGGGGATGGAGTCGGGGTCACAAATACATTAGATCTGAGGACTCACCCAGCTTCCTGCAATGGTACAGTTGGAGAACACCCCCAAGCCCAAGAGAAGGTGGGGCAAAGACAGACATGGAGTTAAGATGTCAAGGCAATCTAAGATGGAAGCCTCTAGTTTCCTTTTGGTCCCCTGTGTCCTCCTCTCTCCTAACAGCTTCGGTCCTAGAAGATGCTGATTCAGCTTTCTGGGATACCCCAAATCCAGAACATAGAGCACTTCCAGAAGGCCCAGCATCCCAGGGTTGGGAGTTAACCCAGCTTGGTCCAGCTTAAATAAGCCCTGGGCCTGAGAGCTCTAGGCCTGGAGATGGTGTCCCTACATTTGCAAGATGTACCTATAGATTGATGTAAGCCGTATGTTTCCTGTGCCCCTTCCTCAAATCCAACCTGAACCCTAAACTCCCACAGCGCGGACAGGGTTAAAGCTGCTTCGTGTCACCGCCCCTGTCCGCCCCCCCCCCCCAACCTGCCTACAGCAGCAACGAATGCCAAGGCCGGAAAACGCGGGACAGAAGGAGCGGTTTGCATCACTGCGGCTGAGTGACAGGTGGAGCGATGATTGGCAGGTGGTACCAGTGCCAGGGTAGGGGCGCAGAGGTGGGCCAGGGCAGCATCCCGCACTCTGATCTCGAGACCCCAACGAGGTTGGTGGCCTCGGCTCGCTGAAATGGGCTCGCTTTTCCTGGGTCCAGGACCGGTCAAGCAGCGCTAGGCGACGCCCGCCCCTCGGACCCCAGGTACACTCTGGTGCAGGCGGCGGCAGCTACAAGGCTCCGGCTGGGCTCGTCCTAGGGTCGTCCGGGGTTCGCCCCGGCAGCATCCCACGCAGCATCGCGACCCTTCCAAGGACACAATCTCCCCAGGGCTCAGGAACATCTCCGCCGGCCTTTCTCAGGAGCTGAGTTCTGCAGCTCCGGGACCCTGTCGTCTGGGCTCAGCGTTGCGACGGACGTGCAAGATCCGGCTCCTCTTTGCCTTGCTCCCTGCCTGGCGCCCCCATCAGGGGAGCGCTCGAGACTCTGAACTTTGGTGGGATTCCCGCCAGGCCTCGGGAGCACGGACGCGGTCCGCCAAAGGATGGCCGAGGGGCTAGGGGGAGGAGGACCGCGCGGTGACAGGGCCGCCGGCGGCCGTGCTATGGAGGAGGAGGTGGTGAGGCGGCGCTGCCGGCGCGGTGAGGAGGCCGAGGTCTTTCAACCCTGGCCCGAGGGTACCCGAAGTGTGGCTGCCGGAACCCCGGTGGAAGAGCGATTTCGCCAGATGCACCTCCGAAAGCAGGTATCTTACAGGTAAGGAGGATGGGGACCGAGGGAACACTGCGCGCGGACCACCGGTCACTGCGCTATCAGCATTCACGACGCGCCCACCTGCCGCTTGCCTGGTCCTGTGGTAGGGGCTGGGATTCAGAAAAGCAGTAAGGATGCCTTCCCCTCCTGGGCTGTGAAATGTGAAGGCTCTGTTCATTCGGCATCTATTTGTTGAGTGACAGTTGTGTGCCTAGTGCTGTGTCTCTGAAAGCCCACAGAGATGTGGTCCGTACAGACCTCTGTGTGCTGGCCTTTCTTCCAGGAGAATCAGGCACAGCAGCCTCCTCCTCTGTACCCTACTGTGGCTGCCCCTGTGCTAAGCACAAGCTGGTGTGCAGGAATTGCCTCCTGCCACAACAGCTGGAAACCTACTGCCCAGAAATGGAGAAGAGCATCCCACCAAGCCCCTCGAACACGGCATACCTGCACTAGCGTCTGCAGTAGCAGAACCCACCCCATTGTCCATCCAGCCTCTTAATTACGCTATCAACTGCCCACTTCTTTGATCCTGCCACCTCTGTTCAAAGGGTCCCCTGGCAGAAACAGCTGGAAGCCCTGGAAGCCGTTATAATGACCTGGGGTGAGATCTGTGAGAGAGAGCGCTGTTCTTCACAACAAGGGTGGGGCCCAGGTGGAAGGGAGGAGATGGGCAGTCTTCAGTTTCCACTTCCCCATCAAGCCCTTGGCACAGAGTGGCATTCTTTAGAGGGCCCATTAGAGAGATCCCAAGGTCCATCTGCATCCCTTAAAGCCATTAACCTGATGGGAGAAGACAAGTCTACTGGCCCGCAAGGGGCTTGGGCATGTCTGACAGTGAGTGCCCTGGTTCTCTTCAAACCTTCTAGGAAGAAAGAGCATAAAATTGGTTCAGCCCCGAGAGCTATGAAGCCATTAGGCCTGGATCCATCACTTGAGGAAGGGTGGAGAGGGAACTTAACCACCATCCTGCAGTGGGATGGATGCTTGGAGAAAATAGAAATAGGTTAGATTCCCAAGGGCCCTACCTTCACTCTGAGAAGCGTGAGCATGCTTGGCTCCATTACCAAGGTCTTCCAGAGCCCTGCTAAGAAGAAAGTATCTGCTGGGGCTTCTGGCTGAGATAGAAGAGTTTCTGAAAGTTCCCCTGGGGGAAGAGCAGAGTCTGTGGAATCCTGGAAGAAATATTGATTTGGGAGTCAGGAGATCTGGTCAAAGACATCCATGCTTAACTATCTTAGCTCTGCACAAAAAGCACCACCCAGGATTTTCTCTAGATGCAAGTCAGGGAAATATAGCATCCCCACTAGAAAGGAGGCCAGGGTCAGGTAGAGCTTGGAGAATAGTGAACAGAGAGCATTCTTAAAGGATTGACATAGAAGATGCTGGGTGTGCATGAACACACATATGGGGTGGCGAGGCAGCTGTAAGGACCAAAACTCCCCCATGTAGACACTCTTCCACAGCCCAGCATGGAGGTCCCTAGCCATCAAGTATGCATATAACCAAGTTAGGCCTCTTATTCTGAGGCTCGTACCCGGGCAGGACAGATCATTGCATGCTGAGGTCAGCCAAGGGTCTAATCTTAGCACTAGAGCTGAGCCAGGCATTAAGGCAAGGACGGCCCCTAGGTAGAGGTCTGGAAGGAGGAAGCAGCTTGGGGGCCCTTTAAGACTTCAGAGGAGACAAAGAGGAGGCAGAAGCAGCAGAGGAACAGCCATGTGGGAAGTCTTGAGAGGCCAGCTGACGCAGGCTGCTGTCCCCTGGCTTTCAGGAGCTCGGACCCACCCACCGTGGCCCTTTTCACATTCTCTGCCCGCCACAGTTCCATAAAACTCTGGCTCACAGCTAAACCTCCAGTCCTGCTGTGAGGAGTTGCTAAGAAAAGCAGTTGAAAGCCCTTCACGGAGAGAAAAGGCTTTCAGGCAGAAATGCGGGGGCATAGAAATATGAGGGCAAGAGACGGGGTGCAAGCGGAAGCAGGACAGAGGCCTGGCTGCTTCTGACGCAAGAGAGGACCACAGGGGCTTTCAGTAGGACTTTAGAGGCTTCTAGGGAGGAGGGGCCTGCTGAGAAGTAGCCTCAGAGTTGCCACAGGCTGGAAAACAGAGCCCATTAGAATGCGGTAGGCTCTTGCTTGGGTTAAAAGTGACCTGGTTTTCAACAAATCCCCATCAAAAGGAGCAGGCCGAAATGTAGAGCCTCACATTTCCCATCCACATCTGGACAGGGGAGAAGGTATCCCCAACACGGCCTGAGAGACTTGGAGTGATAAGGAACCAGAAAGGAGTGAGGGATGCTGGGTTTGTTGTTTGTGGGCCACCTCTAGTGTTATGCCTACCTCTAGTGCTACGCCCAGTAGTTACCAAACCAAATCACCTGGTATGTCTTTTTAAATGATTTTAAAAATATATATATATTTTTTATTTATGTGCACGTGTGTGAACCTACACTCCAGGTGTGTAGAGGATCCTACAGAGGCCAGAAAAGGGGTCAGATGTCCTGGAACCGGATTTACAGGTGGTTGTGAGCCGCCGCACGTGTATTGGGAACCAAGCCTGGCTCCTGTGCAAGGCCAGTACACGCTCTTAACTGCTGAACCATTTCTCCAGTCACCTAAAGAATATCTTTAAGGCTGAAGTTGTAGCTCAGTGACAGAGTGCTTGCCGAGCATGTGTGAGAACCTAGGTTCAATTCTGGTAAGACATCAGGAAAAAAAATAAAACAATAGAATGGTTTCTTAGCTGGGTGGTGGTGGCAGGACTCGGGAGGCAGAGGCAGGTGGATTTCTGTGAGTTTGAGGCGAACCTTGTCTACAGAACAAGTGCTAGGACAGGTTCCAAAGCTACACAGAGAAACCCTGTCTCAAACAAATAAAATAAAAATAAAGAATGGTTTCTTTTTCTTTTATTGATATTATTGAGCTCTACATTTTTCTCTGCTCCCCTCCCTGCTTCTCTCCTTCCCCCTTCAATCCTCCCCCAAGGTCCCCATGCTTCCAATTTACTCAGGAGATCTTGTCTTTTTATACTTTCTACTTCCCATGTAAATTATATTTATTTAAGTACCTCTTAGCATCTGTGTTGTTGTCTAAATTCTCTGGGATTGTGGTTTGTAGGCTGGCTTTCTTTGCTTTATGTTTAAAAACCACCTATGAGTGAGTACATGTGATAATTGTCTTCTGGGTTACCTCACTCAAAATAATGTTTTCTAGTTCCATCCATTTTTCTGCAAAATTCAAGCTATCATTATTTTTTTCTGCTGTGTAGTACTCCATTGCATAAATGTACCACATTTTCCTTATCCATTCTTTGATCCAGGGGCATTTAGGTTGTTTCCAGGTTCTGGCTATGACAAACAAACCTGCTATGAACATAGTTGAGCACATGTCCTTGTGGCACGATTGAGCATCCTTTGGATATATACCCAAAAGTGGTATTACTGGGTCTTGAGGGAGGTTGTTTCCTAATTTTCTTTGAAATCACCACGCTGACATCCAAAGGGGCTGTGTCAGCTTGCAAAAGTGTTCCCTTTTCCCCACAATCTCTCCAGCAAAAGTTGTCATGAGTGTTTTGGATCTTGGCCATTCTTACAGGTGTAAGATGGAATCTCGGAGTTGTTTTGATTTGCATTTCTCTGATGACTAAGGATGTTGAACATTTCCTAAAGTATCTTTCAGCCATTTTAGATTCCTCTGTTGAGAGTTCTCTGTTTAGGTCTGTACTCCGTTTTTGTTTGTTTGTTTGTTTGTTTTATTGGATTATGTGATCTTTTGGTGCCAATTTCTTGAGTTCTTTGTATATGTTGGAGATCAGACCTCTGTCTGATGTGGGGTTAGTGAAGATCTTTTCCCAAAAGAATAGTTTCTTAAACCCTACCCTTGGACATCTTCCCCTAGGTCAACTGGGATTAGAGTCTCAATCTGTAAACCTCTCTTGTAATTCTGATAGTTCAGCCAGTTTGAAAACCTCTGGCCTCACCTATGGAGAAGTCAAAGAGAAAGATATGGCTAAGAGAGTGAAGCGGAGATGATTACGGGTAGGAGGTGTCCCTGTACATGCTGCCATGGTCCTGGATTTCTGGCCCTGCTCAGTCTTTTTCCTCAACAGAAGCCGGATCTTGTACAAGGCCAGACAGTAAATATTTTAGGCTTTGCAAGTCCTGAGTTCCCTGTCATGGCTACTCAGCCCTGACCATGGCGCAAAGGCAGCGTAGACAATGTGTGACCGAGTGAGCGTGCCTGGTTTCCTCTAAAGCTTTGCTTATTGACCCTGAACTTTACATCTCATATCGTCTCGCTGTGACAAAATCCTGAGGCCCAGGAGCTATGGGCTGTTACCCCTGATCCAGGAGATGGGACCCCTCAAGCCATATGGCAACACTCTGCTGCGTCCATTTACCTGAGCACAGAGACATAGGTGTGGCTCCTGCATTCCAAGAGAGATCTGCACACTGGCTTAGGGGCTGAGAGTCCCGGTGGAAGCCAGCTCTGACCTTTCTGAGTTGTGATTCTTTCACCTCTAACCCTGTTTCCTCATATGGAAAAATGGGAACAATGATACCCACTTTATAGTGTGGGTGAAGGATGATGACACAGACTACGGGCATACAGTTCCCGACTCTAGGTAAACTAGTAAAAAACGCGAGCTAGATCTTCCTTAGGGCTGGACGGGTTAGGGTGGACCAGGAAGGATGGTGGAAGACTGGAGCAATGCTAAGGGTGGGAACTGAGGATAGCAAAGCCAGCTGTCGCTAAGAGAAGGAACGAGCATGTCCTAGTCCCCATTGCCCCCTTATCCCTCCACCCTCCCAGGGCACTAGTGGGCCAGTTGGCAGGGAGGGTGCCCCCTGTGACGAGCACGCAGCCTCGGGGACACAGCTCCTCGAGGGAGGAGCACCCATCCTACTCTCCCTGCTGCTATTTACCAGAAGCTAAAAATAGCCCTAAAGTGACAGGGAGATGAGGCCGATTTGTAATTTAAATAGCAACAGGATAAAGCAAGAAG